CTCCCTATCTGCATTTTGTAGCGGGTCTTTCGCGTGAAAGGATCTTCAACTCAGGTGCAGGATCTTGCTCCTCGTCAAGTGTGGACTTGCTTGCATGTCCTTTCTTCTTGGAATACATTCTCGAAACTATCTCTATGGTCTTTGGCCGGCAAGTCAAAGATAATCCCTTCACCAAGATCCCATGAAGCCAATTGAAAGACCGGCCCCAAACGCAAGGAGCCATAATTCTTGTATGCCACCACGACCGTGTGGACTCAGTTGTGCATCTACAACCTGAGTTTCGCACAGTTGTTCCCCACCTCATCTCTGGTTCCACACACATTTTTCAACTGTTCATTTGGATCTCCTCATTATGTTCGCTGGGTGGATGCCTTGGCGCATCCCTTCCTTTCCAGAAAACACCCACCTTCACACCGCCACCTTCATACCGCGCCTTCACACCGCGTCGCCCTCAGGTGAAGGAAGCCAGCCCCGGAGGTCGCCTCTTCGCCGCTCGGACACCGGGTTTTCTCGGTGCCCAGACTTGCGCCAACTGACACATCCAAGTCAAACTCCTGTTGGAATGTCCTGGGCGAGGCCTTGGGCCTTGGGCCGTCTTTTACACTGGAATCGACCATTGACACTCCTTGCAAGCATGGAAGTGGACCCCGCCCGTTTTGATGAAGGAAAATGGTCCACCAGGTCTCTATGGTGGTGCAGGACTGGTCTTATCTGGATCCCACAGCTGCGGTTTTTGAGGCTGTGCTTGTGAAGGATATCAGTCCAGAGAAACGAACCGAGGAGTACTTGACCTTAGCCAAGCTGGCCGTCCAGATCGGCGACGCCCTCTTTGTGCATGGCGGCCTTCCTCGCGCGTGCCTGGGAGAAGGGGAGAAGACGTGCATGGGTGAAGGGCAGCGAAAGGGGGTGATGCTTCGCTCCAACGTGAAGGGGGCTCCCACAAGGGGGATGAACAGCTGTACGAAGGGATTCCCACTCAGCTCTTGCCGAACTTCCTCCAAGTGCTCCGAACCCCCCCCGGTTCTTCGACCCTTTACGTGCGAGCGAGGGACCTCACGTGGACGCCTGGATGGCTGCCACCCGCTGGCGAGCGACGCCCGGTGCGCGAGTGGCTGAAGGGACTGGATCGGTTCAAGACGGAGCAGTTGGCACAGGCGCTCTTCGTACGCTTTCGTGCGCTTTCGTGCGTCATTTCTCCAGCGGTGACCGCGGCGCTTCTTTTTGGCACAGTCGCGAAGGGGGACGGTTCGGTTGAGCTAGCTGCAGATGGTGACCATCGGATGGGCGGATGGTGAATGTGGTGCTTCGGTTCTTGCTCAGTCTGAAGACCAGGAGGAATTCCTTTCAAAAGAGGAGGAAACCTGTGGACGTGGAATCCTCTCTTCGGCACCCTGGCTCGAAATCCTTCGCTACAGGTCCTGAGCGCTACAGAGCTGCCAAAGGCCAGGAGCGTCTTGGGCATCTTTGGCAGCGGGCAGATGTGGATAGAACTGAACGCTTTGAACCACTCATCCCCTGTTCAAAACTGCTTCATGCACTCATGGACTGCATGCACGATGCACTTCAGAAGTTGGTTATGTTTCCGATCGAAACCACCTTCTGAAACTTCCAGAGGACAAAACATCATGGTCCATGGCGCTGCACCAGTTGCAATCCAAGGAATAAGAACTTTCTAGAGCTGAGCTGAGGTCATGGTTCATAGGGATAGTTGGGGGTATTCGTGTTTAACTGTGAGAGGTGTAATCTCTCGGATTCATTAAAGACGGACTACTGCGAAAGCATTTGCCAAAGATGTTTTCATGGATCAAGAACGAAAGTTACAGGATCGAAGACCATCAGATACCGTCCTAGTCTGAAAGACAATAAATAAACCATGCCAATTAGAATTAGACTAGAGGTCGCTGCGGTCTCTATTCGCACTCCTTTAGTACCTCAAACCATCTCTCGCGGTTGGAAAAGAGGGTGATTGCCCAGATGCTTCGCTTCTTTGATGAGACCACTTTGGAGACTGTTTCGGTACACCTATACATACAAACTGCAAGATTAATTTACAGAAGAGCTTCCCGGGGTAGCTGGTCGGCCGGGCTTTTGGCTCCCCTCCTTTGTGGAGGCCGCGCATTCCATGGAAGGAGGCTATGCCCATCCACAGCCAGCTGCAGGCTTGATGCAGCCGCTGGTCAGCAACCGGAGGAGGCCCAGGGTGCTTTTGCGGGTCTGTCGCCCCAAGATCAAACCACTCAAGACCCGCTCAGCAGGTGAACCCATGACATGATTTTCAGAGGTGCTCGCTTTCTGGTTCTTCCTGGAAGTTCCTCGCGCAACGGGCATCGTGGCCGAGGTACATGATGCGGGACATGCCTGATGGTTCTCGACAGCCGAGCATCATCTACAACGGATTTCTAGGCGCAGAGACGGAGGAAGGACCCAGAAAGGATGGAGTCCCCCTCATGTTTTTCCATCCCTGCTCGACTGCAGTAGATACCATCGCGGGAACTCATGAGGTTTGTTGTGATGAGATGACTTGAACATAATATCAACCGTATCTACCCAAGTGGACCAAACGACTTCGGTCAGTGGACTTGTCGGGGTGACCAACGACAACAAGACTGTACCAAGCACAGTTCTGCATCGAACATGTTGCAATGAATGAGGGTTGCAGGGGTTGTGACCCTCTCATTCCCACATGTGACAGCTATCGATTCTTCTGCCCACACCTGGCATTCACAGTGGTTGGACCCCACCACGTGGACCGAGGTGATGACTATCAGCCGTTGAAGTTGGACGCGGCCATGCTGCAGTGGCTTCGTGCTGGGGGCATCCGCAGGATTTGCTCGGGACATTTGCGGCTCGGAGATGGAAGATCTGGCGTGTTCGACAAAGAGTGTCCAACAAGAATGGCCCACAAGAGTGTGGCCTACAGGAATGTCTTAAAAAGAGTGTGCAAGATTGTCCTATACAAGAGTGTTCTTCAACAGTTCCCAACAAGTGTCCTGCAAGAGTGTCCCACAAAACTGTACAAGAGGGCTCCACAAAAGAATATGAGAGTGTCCCACAGGAGCGCCCCCCACAAGAGTATCACAGGAATGTCTCACGAGGATGTCTCACAAGAGTGTCTTACAAGAGTGTCCCGCAAGAGTACCCCAGAAGGATGTCCCACAAGAATGTCCCAAAGAGTGTGTTGCAAGAGTGCCCCACAATAGTGTCCCACCAGAATGTGCTACAAGGGTTTCAGACAAGAGTGTCCCTCAAGAGTTTTCTGCAAGGATGTCCGACAAGAGTGTCCCACAAGAGTGACTTACAAGAATGTCCATAAGAGCGCTCTAAGGAAGAGTGTCAAACAAGGTTTGGCTATTTGTGTTTGTGTACGTGTGTGCATTCGGGCTCGTGGGTGTCTATCCGGCTTCTTTTCCTGTTTTATATAAGTTGCCACCCCTTTTCTTTGCGGTTCTTTGGTTGTTTCATGTGCCAGCTTCAACTCTGTAGCCACTTGCGTTTGTTCATGGTGTGCATTGTATCGACATATTGTTTTGTTGCTACGAATTGGTGTGGATTTTTTGAACGTTGGCCTGACATAAATCAAGGGTTTTCCAGAACAGATATCCTTGAATGCTCTAAAAAGATCCCTGGACACCCTGAAATTTGTTCTTTATTCCATTGTGCCGGTGAACCAAGGGTGCTTACAGAAAGATGTTTGTTTTTCACCACGGTCTGCCAAGGCCCCACGGAGATTCGCCTCTGGTTTTGCGTTTCGAGGACACGCGTGAAGCAAGCGGCGCGCACCCGGACAACAGTTGTATCGATCGATGGGCGGATTCGTGACGCAGGTGTTTCCTATTTGTGGTGTGAAATGGTCGGTTTTCGATGTTTGTTTCTTTGGCGCAGGTTTCAGTTTTCCTTCCACAGCACTGTATGCAAGAAAAGGAACAGTTGAGGGCAGAGGTGAAGGAGGGTGATCCGGTGACTTGCTGTTTAATGCTGATCGGGTAGAGTTCTTAAAGGAACTTCGAAGATGAGTGCAGTATTTGTGAAATATCGGTGCTGTTTCATTTCCTCGAGTGCTTTTAGGCTGCTCCACATAGTTCTACAAATGGAGGTCTCAAAGTCAGACCAGGTCTTGGTGCAGAGGTCTCTCTCCTTAGAGGCCTAGCAGAGCACGGCTCGGTCCGGTGGAGCCGACTCCACGACCGACCGGGGTGAAGCCTCACGGCGGACGGACCAACGGGGCAGCTCTTCTTCCTGCCGGGACTTTTCCACATCTTCCAGGTCTCCCCATCTCGGGGGTTGGTAGAATGAAGAGGTCGCGAAGGCAGTGACTCTGTTTGTCCACGCAGGAGGTCACTGCCATCACAGCGGATCTCTCTTACGCCAAGCAAGCTGCTTGATTTTCATCAAGGGAGCCGAGCTTTTCTGGGGCCAGGGACGCCGTTCACGGCACATTTTCACAGCATGGCTTTGTGCCTTGCACTGCGGAGTGTCAGTGACTGGGGCCGGTGTCACACAACCGGATTGAGGTCGTTGGGCTTGCTGGAGTTCTGATTGAGGTCCTTCAGGTCTCAGTGTGTCTCATACACTCAAAAAGTTACTGTAGATGTTTCCTCAACACACTCAGTTGTCTCTGCATGTTGGGTTGCAGCAAGTTCTGCTCAAACTCCAAGTTCCGCCCAGTGGTCTCTTCTGACTTCCGTAAAGAACCGAGGAACTTGGGACGCCCCGTTCACACCCCAAACACCCGGAAGGGATGGGTGGAAGGTAATGCGTTTACTCTGTGCCAGGGGTGAGAGTTTCCGGCTCTTGGTGACATTTCTTTTTGGTTTTAACTAGATCAAAGCTGCCAAACATCTACCAAGTATGATTCCTTCAAAACTTCTTCATCTTGCTGGTGTTTCTTCCTTGGCTCCTGGCGCACCATTCCTGCTCATCATTTGCTCTTGCTTCCGCCACACCCTGTTCACGCAACCGAAAGAAGACTCTGGGTTGCTGACCTGTTTCCAAGGTGGAGTGGCCGGGGGAAATGGTGAAGGAGCAGGCGGTGGCAGAGGTTGTGCTGGAACAGGAGGTGGGCGCGGGCCATCAAGCGCAGAGTAGATGATCAAGCGTTAGTGCAAAGCAATTGCTAGAGCTGCCAGGGACTGCTGCCTCTTCTTCCAAAGTTCCGTGCCGTCCCCGGCGGATCCGCGCCTTCGCCGGTCGCCAGGACACCTTTCTCCACGGCCTCCTCTCCACCGGCGCACGCTACGAGGCGCGTCTGTCGGACGCGGCCATCGGCATGGTGGACCCAGAGGGCTGGCGTCCCTTGGCAGGTCAAGGGATCCTCTGGGAGTAAACTGAAGCAAGACTACGACAGCGTCCTTTTTTTGGGGGGGAACAGGCAGATTTGATAGAGGACTTGGAGATTCTCCATCTTGAGTATACTGCGAAGTTGCAGCGTTGCACTGATATATTCCAGTATTGTTTTCAAAACCATGCGACTCCTAGCGGGGTGTGGCTACCTTCCATGGTGTAAATTCTTGTAATGTCAAGCCCTTTGCACATGTGACAAGAACCTTGCCAACCACTCATGTTGCTTTGTGACCTTTTCTAGTGGGGTCGCCCTAGTTCCAGAGAACGCGACCCTTTTTGGAAGACCCTTTTCAACACCCGCCGGCAAACTTTTTCCGCTGACTTCCCGACCGCCCAAACACCTCGAAAAACTCATTCCCCATTTCAGTTTTGAGAGCGATGGTGCTTGGTTCATTCACCATTCCTATTGTGGGAAGCACATGGAAACACCTTTACTCCTAGCAACGCTCCTTTCCGAGTTCTCAGCTCCTAGTCCTAAGTACGGCCCTGCACATGCCGCTGATCCCCGCGAACCGCAAGCCCCGCCCCGCTCCGCTTGGAACGAAGCTGCTGAGGAGTGAAGGGCCGGGTGCATGGGCAGCTGCTGCTGAGCCGGAACCAGGGCTGGGACTTCGAGGGGCGCCTGACAGCGGATGCCGACATGGAGCGGGTCCTGCTCGCGGATGGAGCGGACGGTTCCAGCGAAAAAGACGGCTGCTGGACTGGGGAGGACGCCTGAGTGGGAATGATGGGAGGATATGGGAGGCATGCGGCGGTGAGGCCGAGAACCATGCAGAGCTGACTTTGGTGGAACTCTCTTTGATGTAGCAGCCAATGTTCACCTTGCCACCTTGATAGAAGTTGTTTTGGCACATCTTCCTGTAGGACGGTTAGATCTCGCTGCAGTATTGGTTTGCTTGCTGAGTATGCCAGATAGTCAGTGGAAGCCCTATTTCCTGAATCGGGCTCGCATTTGCAGCCTGTCGCAACTCGAGGGGCGTCGAGCAAGTCGGCTCATGGAACGTGAAAACGACCACCAACAGTTCAGCACAGATAGCTCCCCTCAAGCTGGACATCTTTCACAGATAGTGGTGATTCGAGCATCTAGAGGTTGACCACTCAGAACCCCAAGCCTGCAGACTGACGAGTCGCACCTGGAAGTGAAGCAAGGAAGTGGCCTTTGTGACCCTCCACAAATCCAAGGTGGCCAACTCAATTCCAGACTCCTTCACTCTCCTTCACTTCGTCAGCCTAACCAACTACACCAACCACACCACTTATGACAAGCCCTGCACAAAACCGGGAACCTCACTCAGATTCTGATTCAGTCCCACCTCACTCAGATTTGCCGGAGTGTGCCACGCAACCCCCCGAAACCCAACAGCGACTGCCATCCGCTCCATGCGATGGCCAACTCCATCGCCGCCTTCACCGCGGTGCTTCCAGCGACCGCGGCGGTTCCCGCGGCAGCTCGGTGCGAGGCCTTTGGGAGCGACTTCTATGAGCAAGGTGCGACGAAGAGAACAATGCTGAGACCATCACAAAAAGAAGGAACTATATATATATATATACCCTAGAAGTCCAGTTTGACGATTTTCGGCACCACCCAAGTCAAGGAAGTTCCTTTTCGGATCAGGGTAAAGACCGTTTTAAAATTGGTCTTGGACTCCCCGGGTATCTATATTTTTATACATCTAAAGGGTCGTCTTGCCACGGTCGTCTTGCACAGAAAAAGGTGAGCAGGACCGGACTGAGCCGTCTTACACAAAGCAAACATGACCGGTTTGCTAGGCATCGGTCCATCGTCTACTCGTCCCAACGCCTACTCGTCCCGTGGCTCCCAGGGTTTCGTGACTTCGAGCCCTTTCACGAGCTCTCGTCCTGGGACGCGCAGCGGGTGAGGAACAATTGCCGGGTGCAGGGCGAAGCCTGCTTCGTGGTGCAGATCAAGGATGGGAAGATGTACGTGGCAGAGGAACAGGTGACTCGGAGTCACAGGGTCGGATGTCTTTTTTCTTTTGTCTCATGGACGAAAGTCTTTTTGACGGTGATTGGGATGTTCACGACAAGGGAGAGGTTTGCAATCTTGCAAGTGGAGGGTTTTCTTTTTCCTTTGCCAGTCTTGTTGGCTGGTCTTGGCAAAAATGAAGCGGATTAATGTGACCAGCTTATTCTTCCTTTTCGCTTGGGGCGAGAGTTAGTGCTTTACACTTTTTTTTCTGGAACAGAGGGGTGGATACTAAGAACACGTTTCGCTTGAACAATCTGATTCTGTTTGGAGGGTGGATTCCGTGCATTGCCACAAGCAGCCACCTAAACCCTTCCAAACAGTTGGAACCAGTTCGTGAACCAGTTCAGTTACCGTGAACTGAGCATATCAGTTGTCACGAGTTTGATGCAAGAGGATGTTTTCGCAGTGGTTCGTCACACAGCTGCTCAAGACTCAAAGGTATGGGCCTCGGACCGGCGTGGCTACTTCGCGCGTTAGCCATAGGCCAGTTGTCTACTATGGTGGTTCTGGTGTACGAGCAACACCACCATAGGCAGCCGGCAGAAAGAGCTTCGAGCGCTCCCTTCCACTCTGCCACCTCAACTGCCACCCAGTGCGAAGGACATCTGAGGAAACAGATGGTTGGGCGGTGGGAGTCTGAGCAAAGCATTGTTGGTCGAGCATTGAGGTTGGTGGGGCTTTTGATTGGGCTGCTGACTTTGGTGTTCTTGTGCAAGCGGCTTATTTGGTCGGCCGAGCAAGGCCTTGAGGGTGGGTCACCGACCCATCAGACGCAATTGGCTCAGCACCAGCTAGCTGAACTTCGACTTTGCAAGTGTCCTCTCGGAGTACGACGTTGCTGGGCCCCGGCTTTTTCACGAAAGGTGGCATTGCCACCCGCGAACGGGACATTTAATCGGAGGAGCCCGGACTTTTCAACGACGATGTCAGAAGCAACAGGGTGAGGCCCGGGCAGAGTTGTTGCCGGCCGGCATTGCTTCGGGAGAGGTCTACGAACTTCCGGGATGGGGAGTCTACGAATTGGCGGCTTTGAGGGATGAAGCCCGCATAGCGGCCGATGTTGAGAGGCGAGCTTTGGCGGCACCACCTGTGGAGATCCACGAGCAGCAGCAGCATTGGCACCTGCGGTCGCTCCTGCTGCATTTGATGGTTTGGCTGGGTATGAGGCTGGAACACTGAAATGGTTGGCAGCGGAGGCTGTCTGAGGATCCAAATCCAATCCGATGCAAGGGAAGGTTTGAACCTTACCATGGGTGGTTGAGGGGCGATGACATGGCCGTGTCAAGGAACTTGCATCAAACTTCATGGAAGAACATTTGACAGCTTATGTGATGATATTTGGTGCGATTGGCAAGCCAAGGCAGAAGTTCACTACAAGCAGTTTGTCTGCAAAAAGTTGTACTACCAAGTATGGTTGCCACTTCTTGCATGGCTTCTGGTTGAGTGTTCGATCAGGCGGGCTCTACCAAAGGCTTCTGGCTGGCAAGGCAACCCTGCTGGGTATTTATCGCATCTCAGCAGCACATGGCTGAACCCTTTACTTTGGAAAAGTTATATGCAATATTTGATTGTTAGATCTGCCTGAGGGAACAAGTGCCACCCAGTGCACCGAAGCAGCTCAGCACTTTGGTTCTATTTTTTGGTGTAAAAGGGATTTCGCATTGCAATCCATTGCGCAAGCAAACTTTCAAAACGTTGTAACTTTTGGGTTGGTGGGTGGCTGGAGCTTGATTGTTAGAGTTCAGCACCTTGGCTTGATTTTTAAATTTTTAAATTTGCAAGCCATTGCGCAAGCCAAGCTTTCCACAGAAGGGCGTCGGTAAACGCACAGTTGTATCTTGTGGGCTGGTTGCTATCAAATCACGTTTTCGTAAGGTCAGGATGGAGCTAGCTGCTGACCAGCCTCTGTACACGGCCAGTGGCATTCAGAACGCTTTCTGCACCGTGGTCATGCCCCTCCAGCTCAGGACCATTTTTCGGGATGAGGAGGGTCAAGGTAGGTGATCTTGGACAGACAGCGCGTCCAGGACAGTGGTTTCATCCAAACAGCAGTGGGGAATGTGGTGGTGCCAGCGGATCATGAAAAGCTGTGGTCAGACTCGGGCCTCGCCCAAGAGGAGCGGCTGCGAGATGGAGAGCGTGCCACAGATGGGAGTTTTTGACAACGACAAGAAGTGGAGAGGAGGTTCAGGGAAGCAGTGCGGGTGTTGAGGCAGGCAGGCTTGACAGTGCGTGAGATTGAGCTTGGGGAGGGTGAGAAGAAAGGGCATCGAGGCCCACAGCTATGTGTGGCGTATTCAAGCGAGGCTCCGCGACAGGGCACCCGTATTGTGGGAGACATGCGCATTCATTCAGGGACGCTACACCCCGCGAACTCCGTTGTGGAAAAGTGTGAGGACAGAGCTTGGGACAATGAGACGGAGGGGGGCACTGAATGCCATAGCTTTTCTCAGCATGGGCCTCGAAGTGATGCTTTAAACATTCAGCAAGGCATTCAGTTGATGTATTTTAGCTGTCAAGTGCTGAGGCTCGCCCTTCGTTGGCACATCCCCTTTCCACTTTAGAACTCGCAGCGCTCCAGGCTGTGGCTGTGTGCCCTGGTAAAGTAGCAAATGCGATGTCGGGCGGTGACCACCCAAGTGGTCCACTACTGTGCTTTCAAACAGCCACGGAAAAACCAACAACCTTTCTACAATTACATCTCAGCCTGGAGCACCTTGGGCCATTTGTGGACTTTCTGACAAGGCACATGTGCCGCTCATGGGGACTGTTGAGCAGTGGGGGATGGACGACAAAGGTTGCAGAGCCCTGCCCCATGTTGCTTACAAAGGAACTGGCCCCTGCTTTTGAGAATGCAGAGCTTTCATTGTTAGCGCAAGAATTTGAGCAACGTATGCAGTGACGGCTACATCAAGATTGAGTGCAAATCTGGGACAAGCATTGCAATGTTTTCGACTGGTTGGCCCTTAGCAGCCAAAGGCATGAAAGATGCCATCTGCGTTTGGATCAAACCTGGCCAAGAAGAAACGCTGCGGAAGAGCGTCATATCATTTGTCACGAGCTTGATGCAAGAGCAGTGGGTTATCACACCGCCGCTCAAGACTCCCACCCGAGGCGGTGGGGGTGACGACTTGCAATGGTTGGGAGCGTTGCAATGTTTTCTTGAATCTGACTGTTTGGCCTTTAGCAGCAAAAAGCATGAAAGTTCCGCCTGCGTTTGGATCTAACCTGGCCAAGAAGAAAAACTGTGGAACACCGTCATCCATTTGTGGATTGCATCCGACTGCAAAACCTTCAACATCTCTCTGAGGCCGGCTTCCAGAGTCGGAACCACCTGACCATGGCGATGCTCTTGCGCGTGAGCGCGAAGTTCTTTCCGCTGCCCGACGCGGAGTTCGTGGTGGACACCAGCGACGGCTTCAGCCGCATCGAGGCGCCGCTCTTCGTGATTGCCAAGTTCCCAAGCTCCAGAGGCCGGGGTTTGTGAGATGATCTTTAGAAGAATGAGAAGGTGGGCAGATGAACTTCCCCCAAAGGATGGATACTTGAAACGTGCAATCTCATTTTTAATCCCGGAGTTTCAACTGGTCGACTGAAACGGGTTCACGCCCCTATTTTTTGGGGTCGTGTGGGTTTGCCACCGACACTTTGATCGCAGCCAAGATCGATGTGAACGACACATCTCTTGCCTTTCCATCCGCTGGACAATGGCTTTGGTTTTGTCACCTTTGATGTGCTATATAAGCTGGCTGCAAATCTACGTCGAATGTCATTTGTTTTCGGGAAAGCACTGCCACAAAAAAAACTCATGCCGCGTTTCTCATGTTCTGGATGGGTGCAAGGAGGGTACGGTGTGTGAAAGGTGAGTTTTTCTTGAGATCAGAATGCAGCCCACGCCCGCTTGGAGTCGTATGACCATGAATCCAACCATGAGAGGGTGCAGGGCAAGGTCTGATTTTTATACACCCACATTGCATATACATGGGAAACGTATCAACAAACAGCTGATTGGTATCAAACAAATCTCTTCACTTCCTGCCCCTCATTTTTTGGGGTCTTGTGGTCCTTTGATCCATGAAATGTGCAAAATGACGTGGAGATAATGCGAAAATGTGTTCGAGGGTTCTTTTTTTTTAGGGGTGTGTTCCCGTGCAGCAAATCAAAAGTAAAAATCGTTTGACACAGTTTCTCTAACACCATTCAAACCGGCCACTTAAAACTGGATGCTGGATACTTGATTGGAGTGACATGACGTAAGCTTGCATTCTTCTTTGCCCCTTGCACCTCTTGCCGTTTGGTTCGGTTTTCACTGTATCTCATTGATGTACATGATCTCATCTCCCTATTTCTTTTCAGTTATGACATCTTGACATTAATTCCTCGTGGAGTGGACCAACGTCCATCGGAACGGGGACTTGGCGCACATGAACGCATTGTTTCCTTGCTTCTGGGGGTTGACTTCCTTCATGTGCGTCTCTATTGGCTTTGAATGCTGACTTTTGGGCATTAGCCTATGGGCTTCATGTGTTCTTGACAGTCCCTTTGTATGTCTTTCCTCGTCATACGGCACGCATGCGCAAGTACCGACCTCGAGGGGTTGAGTTTGAACACTTGATGAACATCGATATTTTGAGGATCATATAATTTTCTGTGATCGGGGAGGGTATCCATATCTCTCCAGCATCAAAACCGCATCAGCGTCCCACATTGCCAGGTGGCATTCTTTACCCAGACTTTTCTTCCTACGCCTGGCCCGAATCTGAATGCCCCTCGGAGCCCTTCGGTTCTCACGTTTGGTCTGTGGCGTACTCGAAGTTGCTGGACACTGCACCACCATGGCACCAGAAGACGGAGCAGTTGTTCTGGCGCGGAGCAGCAACCTCCGCCTACAGGACAGACGGTTGGAGATGAAAGAAGTCGTGGTTCATCGTGGCTTGTGAACGGAGAAAGAAGGAATTCGAGCATACTACAGTACACCTGTTCAAAAAGTATCAGTTGTAAAGGTTATTTGTTTTTTTGGGGGTGAATGATGATGCCTTGGGCCGACAAATGAAGACTGTCTCAAAATGAGCTGAAGTATTTGGGCCAAGTTCCCATCACTTCAAGTTCTCACTGGTATCCCCAGCAACCTGATAGCTAGCTCAGCACAAAGGATTCCTGTTGGCCATGTCAGTGATGGCAATAAGCTAACAGTCTCCAGCGAGCGGAAAACACACATTCCAACAGTTTTTGGAAGAGTAGTTTTCAACAACCTATGTGCCAGTGGGTCTCACAAATCACCGTGGTGACGACCAAAGGCCATGACCCGCTGCTTTTGACCTGGCGTGTCAACTATAGAAGATTTTGAGCTCTGCAGCCAAGTACATGTCTTCATTCAGAGGTGGAGAGAATTATATATATATCTTTGTGGAAACTCGAATCTCTTTCAAAGAATCCCTGACCAAGCTCTAAAAGGTCAGTTATTTGATCAGCTCCAGAGTCTCGAAGAAGCTTTGACTCAAAGGCTTTGGTTTGAACTTGGGTTCACTGTTGGGGCCAACTCACGAACACTTGGATCTATTCCACCAGCCAATGAAGGATGCTAAGATCGAGACGACTGGCAAGATGATAACCGGTGATGTTAGACCATTCATTTCTATATTTACTACATTCCGTACCTTGAGTCTTTTCGTCGCATCAATCCATGTCTTTCACATCCAGGAAGCAACTCGTCCCACAGATCTCCCAGCTGCAGGGTGCCAATGTCTCAGTGATGCGCTGGATCGTGGGGCAAGCTGGGCAGAGGCAGGTGGTGAGTAGCGGCGAAAAGACCTGTGTTCCCATTGATGCCTGGCAGTGCTGAGCCGTTTCATCTTTTTTTCCCCAAAGTTCACTTGCCAGGGCTGCTAGGGCTCGGAACAGCGACTTGTAAGGATTCTCTTTGGGACTGCCTCGGTTTTGGTCGCCCGTTTCGATGGCATTTTGTTGGGACCCCATGGTCGCCCCGAAAGATCAGATCCTGGTGGCCAAGGTCAGAAGTGCCGGAAGGTGCCATTTCTTCTATTCCTCCTCTTGGGCCAGGGATCAAGCACGTTTGATATGGCTATGTCAGGGTATGTCAGGGTAGACTCTTCGAACAGGTCGATCCTATGAACGCCATCCGATCTGTTTTTTGGTCTACTTTTTGCCCTCAGACTCTTCCCGGGAGTCTTTTGCACACCCTTGAGCTTGCTGGACACGTTTTTGGTTGAAAGAAGAGCGCTCTCGTGTTCTCGAGGAGGAATGGTGTCAGCACCGGTTCCTGGCCAACTTGCCGGGAAACACCATGGCGCTGGCCCTGAAGTATCGCTTGCTTTGTGGATCGGTGGTGATGACCAGCCCATTGATGTATCATGAGTGGTACTATTCACAGTTGAAGGCACGGGGGAGTTGGAGAGTTGGCCATGAATCAGATACGACCAGACAAACATGCATCAACATTCCGGTACTATTCACAGGTGTTCGGAAGAAGGTGAGCTTCTTGGACAAAGCCTTTTTTCAAACGCTCTGCAACTCGCAAGAGCCCGCAGAAGTCCAAACAAAAACCACCCGTTCACCGTCCCAACGGTATTGGGCTTATTTTGGGACTCCCTGATCGACGACCGTCTCTTCAGACGTCAGGACGGTGAGCACTACGTTGCTCTGGACCTGTCGTGGTCTTCCGCCGCCGATGCCCTAGCCCAGTTGCGCAGCGAGCGCGTGAAGCTGGCCGAAGGCATTGGCGCCCGCGCGCGCGAGTGGGCGAGGCCGGGACGGACGTTTGTATCTTTTTTTTGGTGTGAGGATGGCGCGTCCTTCAGTGGTTTGGAGGGTGCCACAGCGATCAGTATAATGATGTTGACTGTTGATGAATAAGACCCAACTACAGTATATGAATATACTGGTATACTAACACATCTCCACATCGAGGGGGTTACTGATCAACTGTCAATACTAATACAATAATGTAACTTGGCACAATTCGTATCCTTTGTGCAATACTATGATTGCTGACAAGTGTATAGTTTCATGATTCCGCACCACTCAAATCTATTTGTTTGGGATTGGCACACTCGGGGCCTTGGTATGATGTCCAATGCCAATTCCACGACAAGGGGAAGACATGTTTGGCTTTTATCAAGGCAGAACTACATCTGAAGATGACAAGCTTCATCACCGACCCAAGAAATACCCTCCAGGTCTTCCAAGCGATTGTTGAACCCCGTTTTCTCAAAGTATATCGGTGTTACTCGACCTAATAGTCCCTTTATTTGGTTCGGACCGAAGGAGGAGAGGAAGTGATCTCAGTGGCGGTAGCAAACTCCCTGGAACGGACTGTGAACAGAGTCCGGGACTTGAACTGTACCGCAATGTCAAGCGGGGTGTAAACGAGCACTTGATCCTCCCTTCCGTTTTTTTTAAATCATTTTCTGAGAGATCGACTCCTGGTTTTCTTTGTGACTGATAGGACGCATTTGACGGATGATGCCTTCGACTGCTATTGGCTGCACTTGATTCGCATGGCCAGTCAACACTTCCCTCCGCCCCAGCTGACGCCCAGCTCCCGCCCCGTGGAAGCTCTCCTGGCCGCCAGTGCTGCTGGTGCGAGTGCGGCGGCCACAGCGCAGGAGAGGCGGAGCTCCTTAGATGTGATCATCGTGATCCCTGCGCGTGCAGGTGATGAGGCACTCATGGACCATGCAAGGAACACCTGGTTAGGTGAGGTGCAGGATTCCAAGCTGAGCACAAGGCATTTCTTCGTGATTTCCCTGAGAGATCCCGATGTGGATGGCCTACGAAGGGCCGAAGATCTTCTGGTGGTTGACTGTGAACATGGCTATCGACAGCTGATGCAGAAGATGGCTGTAGCATATCGGATTTTGTTGGATCGCTTCGTCGTTCGCTTCTTTATTCGCGCAGATGTGGACTCTGCACCTGAGCTGCGGAAACAACCTGTTTGGACGGTTCGTCCAACAAGTTTTTCACATTTCTGGGCCAGAAGGTTTGTTTTAAGGGGCCCAGATGTGACCAGGAATCCATCCCCTTTATCCAAGTGATCGATTTGGTGGTTTATTTTACCACTGCATCGAATAAAGTTACCAATCTGATCGTCCACTCGTACCTGGATTTCCAGCCAAAACCCAGTTAAAGGTTTGCAGACTTGTTTTACAGGTGGATAATAAGTCTTGGAGCACTTCTGATCACCTTGGTTCCCTGAAAACAGAAGGATGCACATTATGGCCACTTGATATCTTTTTCTCTTCGTAGCCAGTGCTTAGGCAAGAACTCCCAGTTCCAGCCCTTGCAAGAACTCCACGTTCCTCAGGTCCTGCCCTTGCAGTACTTGCTGCCCCTTCTTCCGCATGCCTCTGCTGGCCAGTCGCTCGTGCGTGTGCCAGACGTCTCGGGCTGTGGGGGAAGTCCCGGTCATGCCGCGCGGTGGAAGATGCCAGCGGTGGGGCGCTTGCAGTGTCAGATCGAGTGTGCAATGGACCGGGGGTGCCACTTTTTCCAAGTGATTCTGCTTTTTGTTTGGCATGCTTTGCCTTTTGTGTGGGGGCTTTCGGTTCTATGTTTCCTGGAAACTTTTTGGCTCCTTGCTTTTCTTCGCAAAACACATCCATGGAATGTAGGGAATCCATCCGAAATCCAATTCCAGGACTTTGCATTGTTTTGGGTGCTCACAGGTGCCCACTTAGCTTGCCACAAGCATCCGCTTTCAGCAGGTCCTGTTGTTGGTGAGGTGTTTGTGGTAAGGTGGGCCTGGTACACCTGGGTCACTTGTGTACTGTTCAGTTGTGTTTTTACCTCTTCCTTTTCAATAAAGTTTCCACTTTGATGTACTTGATCTCATTATCGCAATTGACGATCGTCGCTGCCATTTTGGCGAAAGATCGGCACAATCGCCAGGAAGTTCTTTACCGTGTTTTGGGCCTGGGTGCGATCGTGCTGCCGAGGGACAGGCAGCTCCTGCTAAATCGGCCCCGCTAACAAAGGCCAAGCCGTTTCTTTCATCTTTTCAGCGCCAGGTCTACAATGCGTCTTCGCGATGGGACGGCGCTAGTTGTGTGAGTTCCTGGGAAGCATGACTCCAGAAGATCTGACCCACTATCCTCTTGACACCATCCTCCCGAGCCATCTCTCTCAGGCGAAGGCCCAATCTTGATCCTTGACAAACGAGGTGAGTGTCAAATTGGACCACTAGCTCCTGAGATCCCCTGCGGGTGGATACCACTTCAACCTCTCCATGGTCAGAACTGATTCGATGGAGTCAAGGTGACGACTTGCGGCCCGGCAACATGTTACTCAAGCCTACCATGTGCTCGATGGCCATGCAGCCTTCCAACCACTCAGGCAGCTGCCAGTGACAGAGAGCAGCCCCACCTCTCTGACAAGGACACGGCTGCTCAGCTGTGGCATGTCGCTGTCTTTTGGGGGATATGGCGCTTAACCGCTGCTCCGAGACTTTCCTCTTTGCCGCGTTGAGTGTAGGTTTGTGGCTACACCTTCGCCTGACTCATTCGGAGCAGATGTGGACAGATTCCTTCTGCAGCAGATCGGTTGGATGTGTCGTGGGGCCGTGACTGCAAGAGTGGGATGCCCAGGTGAGGCTTTGCAGCTCGCCCAGTTTGCTGCCATACATGCTCACTGGGCGACAACCGAAGAAGAGACAGGGCCGAGGATTGTGCTATTCAAGAAAGACAGGGTCCTAGTTCCTGCTGAAGCGCTTGCTTTGCAGAGCCGGTTGCTGGCATTGTCCCTCCACTGGTCGGCCTCCATCAGTGACAGCTCCAGACAGACTCCTGCTAGCGTGGACAGGCGGGTTGCTGGCAAGACGATCGCTGAGCAGAGAGCTGCTACAATTGGCTACTCAGCGGCGACGCCGCAGGCATTCCCTGAGGCTGCTCGCAAGATCGACAAGCAACCTCGCCAGACAGCTGGTTAGTATGATCCAAGGGTCATAATCAATCAGATAAATGACGGCCTTGGCCAGACACTACGTTGCTCAAACATTTGAGCTACGCAGCGATCAACGAGATGCCCTCTCCAAGCCGGTTCAGGTTGAAGGTGCGTCGACTATCAAGAAGCTGAGTTGGGCCTGGGATCACAAGGGTATTGTTTCCTTTGCTTGGGCCGGCAGTATTTCAACTGGATCGGCTTCCGGAAGAAGTTGATCTGGTCGAGATCCCTTCTACCTTAGCGCTCAGAGAATTAAGCCGCTGCGTTTTGTGAGTAATCCTCTCAGCTGAACAAGCGGTGACTTGAGCGGTGTAGTTTTCACGAGTGTCCATGTTTTTCTGTCAGGTGATGAGGTCTTCCATTTCTCTGGGTGAGCTTTCCAAGTCTCTAAAGCCAGACCTTCCAAGGTCAGTGAATCTGGGGATTGCGCCACCTTTTCTCATTGCGATCCATTGCCTTCGCCGATTGTGACCGGAGGAGAGGTCTATCACTATCGCCTACGTACATTGGTGGGTGCTGAAGCGCTGGATGAGGCGAACACCAGGCACGGAACCCATACAACCACCAAGGGATTGTTGGATTTTTGTGGGCTTAAAAGTTGCTGCCTGTGGTCCCCTGGTGACTTGTTGGAGGTTGCCAGGTTGCTGTATCAGACTGACATCGACTGGTGTTTTTATGCGTCGAAGATCTTCCAGGTCTCTCTGACTACCACCCATCCAGGGTCAGCAGACCATGCTGACAGTAGGTGGCCTTTTGGATGGTTTGCAGAACAAATTGTCCAATTTGTTTTGGGTTAGTTATGGAGTCTTCCTTTGGGTCCCCCCATGCTAGGCAGCGGCATCCCTTCATCCTGGGGACCATCCTGCGCGGCAACGAGGTCCTGGTGAATGACAGCTACAATCCGCAATGGAATAACATACGATATAGCCGCTTTGAATGCCAGCCACAGTTTGTTTGTTTTAGGGTTCCCAACTATCATCACCAAAAATGTGGCTAAGATATCACCTGGACGTCACTTCATTTTTCAAAAGGTTTTGAAACTTTTTTTGTTTAAAACAACATTAGCAGTGCACACTCCACAGCTGCCGTCGGTGCGGACCCGCGATCGGCCCCACACACGGAGCTGAGTCAGGTCACGACCTGGGTTTGTCGGTCTATCCGCCCTACCCAGAAGCCTCTGGATACGCCATGTCCGCAGATCTGGCTGCGTTCTTGGCAGGTGCAACGATCTTTGAGTGGTTCCAAGAATTGGTTGTTGGTTTTTACATGTAAGGCAACCATTTGCTGTTCAGCAAACTTCCTCTTCTTGGTCAAGACGGCCAACTCAGCAATCTTGTCTTCGACTCTGTCATTTGGATGGGCTGAGCGAAGTCTCTGACTGGGCTATCCAGATAGACCAGCGTTTTCGGAATCCGACCAGTTTCCCGAAATTGGAGTTTGAGGGTCACACGCCCCATGCGACCTCTCTTGTGTCAACGATCCTTAATCTTCCCCTTTGAATCCCAGGAGACCCAGGTTTTAGATGATGCGAACAGGTCCTGGGTCTTAACTGATACTCTCTTTGGGAAAGCAGGGAAGCTACCACGTGGTCAGTGCCCATCTCATACTCTTGGGTGGCTTGGAATTTCTTGCAAAGAAAAGCCCTTCCAAAAGGCTCCCCTGGCTTTTCCATCTCCCCTTCTGTCGCTCCTCCAGCCAGCCCAGTTCGGCCGGCAGGCGTCGGTGTCGGGGAGCTCTCAACGTTGAGCTGGAAGGCCTGGGCGATTGAGGACAGCGCTCTGGGCACCATCCTGGCGGGGCTTCGCTTTGATCTGCTGCAGATGCCCACAGAAGTGCGGGAGCGTGTGCGTGTGATCCGAGTCGAGAAAGAGTGATGATGGTCGTTTTTCAAGGGGGGGTTGGTGCTGCTCTGGGGCCAACCCTCGGAAGTGTAGTGCATTGGACCTTGATGTGCTGGACAGTGGAGGAGATTCTTTTTGAAGAAGACCCAATGGCCTGAAAAGCAGATGGCCGAGATTGTTGAGGTGTAGAAATGGTTGCAGGATATACTGTAGACCGTAGACCAAATCAGTCCACCCAAAATCAACTAAAATCAATAACTTCCAGTAACTAAAAGAGAACAGAATGCCACGATCATGTTTCAGTCGGTTGTTAGTTGGGCTTCCATGTTCTTTCTGTTGTCCTTTTTTGGGTGTTCGGACAGACCCAAGAAGCTCCAGCAGTTTGTTGGGCGGACTCAAACTAGCTGGGTGTTGTGTCGGGGAACCGTCGTATCTGATGGGGCTTCATGGTTTCACCCAATCTTCATGGTGTGTTCCGGTGTGTCCCATTAGACACTGCTACTGGGAATGCCATTATCACGTATGTATATATATATATAAATACTATATTATTGTGAAAGTAACCGTGGTTGGAACCCTATCCTACCTACCGACCGAATGCCGTGCCGCCGTGAAACCCTGTTTCTCCTGGTCACTCAAGTCTCCTCTCCCTCCCACCGCGGACTCGTGCCGAGATCGGGGACGCCGGCGCGAACTGACGGTTGCTGCATCACCAAATTCACACACCACCAATTTTCTACGTCTTCAAACTCTCTGACGATTTTTCATTTTCCTTGTTTACCCAAGCTAGGCGGTTTCGTTTATCTGCTTTAGCTTTAAGTGTCACAGCTTCGTCAAACAAACTGTACTTTCCTGCTGCAAGGCATTGCCTCAAAAGCGTAGCATCCATCGCCTTCGTTAATGAATCTGCCAGCTGTGCTTGTGAGTTGACCCATCTCAAACGACAGTTCTCTCTCAACCGCTCTCGAATGAGAATGCATTCCAAACATGTCCGGTACTCTTCACAAGTTGGTGTCGAAGTCTTCGTTGAAACGTCGTAAACAGATTTACAATCCGTCACAACCGATGACCTGGGTGCCTCAGCAAGCATACCTTCTGGCTCCATCACATTACTTCCGGGATTTTTCACCCATTCCCAAAAAAGGCGCAACCAAGAGAGCCGATCCAAGGAAGCACTAAGTGCCACAGCTTCAGCGGACAAGGTGGATCGAACAACTCTGGGGATTTTCCTTGAAGTCCAAGCTATGGGACACACTACCCCAACCATATTCCTGTCTAAGTTTCGATCAGTCGCAAAAATGATTGTTCCTTGTCTTGAGGCAGTGTCCTTATTTGTCGCGAAGGAGGCGTCACTGAAAGCACAAAAGGACAGTTCTGCCACTTTGATGGGTAAAATATGCAGGCACACCGGGTGACTCTTCGCCTCATGCAAAATCCTATTCAAAGCTAACATCTCCCCGACAGTCGCTCGTGTAATCTTCGACTGTACTTCCCCTATCTTAGCTGAAAGATCAGGTCTGGTATTGACTGAGGCATATTGAAGAGACCCGCACAACTGTCGAATTTCTTGACGCTCACCTTCTGTCACTTCGGACAATGGCTCTGCACGGCGATGCTTGGGAATTTGGATCGGATTGATTCTTTCGATATACTCTCGTTGGTCCAACTCAATCGATCCGTCATCCCATTGAAAGTACCGCACTCCACAAAATACAAAATTCTTCTTATGGAAAGCCCCGAAACTGTACACCTTTTGGATCTTTTCGAGGGTTTCGTGAAAGTAGCTATCACCTCCACCTATTCCGTCATCTACGTGAATCCCCAACAGACCACGAACCTGAGGTTGTTTGCCTTCTCCCTGAGTCACCAAACTGAAAACACAGCTGTCAAAAGGGGAGCACACAAAACCATGATCTTCTAGAGTCTTCCTAAAGGACTTATACCACAGATAGGGACCATCGACTCGACCATAGGCTCCACCCAACAGCTGGCATTGGTCTGTCCGAGACATGTTCAGTGAGGTGGCAATTTCAGGTGGTGCTTGGATCCCTAGATTCCGGCCATCTCCTTCGCCCTTCAAAAAGGCAGTTGACACATCAAAACTCACCAAGTCCCATCCAAAACTCGACACTCCCTGTACGACTAGCATCCTTCCGTCTTTGGACAACGTGGGGGCGTCATTGGGGACATAGGAAATTCCGGGATCTGTGAATCCAAGGATCACCAACCGGGCTTTGGCACGGCGTTCTCCGCCCGGAGATTCTGGTGGCTTCCATGTTAAAATCCACCTACATCTCATGATTTCTTCGGGCTTCAGAGTGCCCTGTGCCACCCTTTTCACTGTCTGATGAGACAGCCATGCCTTCACTTCTTTCTCTTTGGCAGCACGGAAGAGCACCTTTTCTTTCTCACTGAGATCGTCCCACCGAAGCTCTACCTTCTCCTTCTTAGCATTGGTCACCCCAAACGTCTCCCATACTGAAAAGACAGTATCCCTTTGAGACTCCCCCAAAACAGGACCATCCCTAAAAGAGAACTCATACTCAGGACTTCCCAGTGAGAGAAAGGTGTCATCTCCGAAAGCAAACAAATCATCATCGACTTCTTCAGGAACTGGAATGTTCACTCCATCCATCTCGACATCGGGAGGATCTGTGGGTGCATACTCACTCAACCCCTCCCTTTCCGGTTCCATAGGCTCAGTTCCCAACGTGGATGGTGGAGACACTTCCAGCTCGGGCTGGTCCTCTTCGGTCACGGAAGGAACAGTCCTCATATCCCCTGCTTCAGGAAATTCGTCCAAGGCCACAAAGTCCCTAGGCCCTTGACCCTCTTTCAAAACCTCGTCTCGAACCTGACCCTGGTCATCCCTTGGCAACAAATGATATTCACGCAGTGAAGCAGGTCTGAGGTGTTCTGGACTCGCTCGAATTAGTCGGCCACAATGACTCAGCCAGACAACTTTGTTCCCTTCAACCACAATGACCTGGGAAGGACCATGCCACCTACCCCTTTCCTTTCTACCGACTCCCCTCCTTCTCCAATATAGTACCCAATCACCCCTTTGATACTGAGCTCGGCTAGGCCTAGTTCTGCGGAGGAGAGCACGTCGAAAGCTGTTGTCATTGTCAGCAGCAATGAAACTTCGCCTTGCTTGCTCTCGCCGTGCCAACGACTTCAAAAACCATTGGCCCTCTGGGTCGTCACTCACTGCCAAGCTATGGCTTCCAACGTTTTCATCTCCCGTCAAGGAGGCAGGAATGTGTCGTGACTTTCCCAGTAGAGCTTGCTCCGGGGAGAATCCACCAACTCTGCTTAAGGCATTCTTTGCTGCAAACGCTTGTCTCAAACAAACTCTGAACTCTTCGTCACTTTCAATTGGACTCTCAACATTCATCCTATCCAACATGTTCTTCACGATTTGTCCATGGCGTTCGCATCTTCCCAATTGCCAATGACTTCCCCTGCACTGAGAGAGACACAAATGTTCTCCCTCTGGAGGAATTGTCTCCATTCATCATTGACATATTCCCCGGCAGGGTCCAAGTATAGCAGTTTACATGGTCCAGCCCATTGCAGCCAAACGTCCTCAAACACTCGAATTTGTTCTGGTGTGGATCTTCCACAGGGTGCTCCAACATGAAACAAGGTCCCCTCGTCGATAAAATGCATGAAATGAAACTTCCTGCCCCTACTATTTGTCCACCAAGCCCCATCACCTCCTACTTCGTCGTTGAAGTCCAAATCCCGGTGAATACTACTAGGGCGTGCCAATAGTGGAGCTCCCTGGTTTTCCGGACAGGTTGGGCATTGAAATTCTTTCACCCCTTCAATCACTGCCTCTGATGACCCTCGTTCCTTAAGAAACTTGCGGAACAAATCTGGCTCGGGATGCCCCAAATTCTGATGTAGCCTCACAATATCAGCCCGTTCCTCAGGGGGCAATTTCAAGAACAAAGGTCCAGAGACAGCAATTGGCCTGGGTGCCCAGGCTGATTGCCCCTTGAACTGAAATGGCAGGACTTGACCCTTCACGTGTTTCCTTTTCCGGATGAGGGTCCACGATCTCCTCTCCTAAACATGGGGACCCAAACACAGTCAGTGAAAGTCGTGCGGGGCCACATTTGCCTACCCTCTTCATACGTGAAAGCTTTTGCCATTCTTCAGGAACCCCAACATCCACAAACGCACCCGAAACTCGATGAATATAGACCGTCTTCCTCAAAGTCAGCCTACGACTATCGTCCTGTTTGTCAGGGGTCCTGTATCTGTCCGTCCCGCGACATGAAATCATCAGCTGTACCTGCATCTCGGGAATCACAGATTGAACTTTTTCCATGAGAGGCCCCTGGCGTATTGTGTGAACACCAACCCTAGGAGTCTCCTTGGAGACCTCTTGCATGATGTGTTCCCAAGACACTGGTGCCACAGCGGGTGCAAATGCTGCAGGACACGGCTGTTTGTACACGCACCTATGACGTTTCAGCCGGAGAGAATCAATTGCTGATTCTCGAGATCGTTTGTGCCCACTTTCTGAAGCTTCAAACCCTGCTAAAAGTTCCATGACTGCTAGGGGATCCTCACGTTTGGAACTGGATTCCATGAGTGCTTTAGTCACGGTTCTGGCAAATGTTCTGGTGTAGTGTGCTGCAAAAGCGGAAACTGATTGTCGATCTCCATGATGCTTGAAACTGCCTTCTATGCGTCGATGTTCATGATCTTGATTGCACCATCTGCGATGTAGAAGTGAATGAACAATCCTCGATGTGGTGTGCACAACAGTTCTCTTCCGGAGGAAACGATCATCCTGAGGCAAACGCAAACCCCCTACCCGACACTGATCAAAGGATGCCGGCATCGTTCCTGTTGCAATGTCGTACATTTCTGACTGTTGTATCATTTCTGAACCACTAGGTTGTTCCAAATGAAAATGTCTACCCAAACACACCTGATGCCAATACAAGTCATGACACAAATTCAAATTGGGTTTCTCCGTTTGTCTCTTCTCCATGATATGTCGTTCCATGTATTCGTTTCGTGACATGTTGA